TATTTCAGAGACTCCTTTGATGTGGGACCTTACTTATATCTGTGTATATGGAACTTCTGTTTTGCAAAAAATGATATCAATGATTACCTACTGTTGCACTGACTTATAGGTAGATCAATAGGAGATTTAGATGCCATTATGCTGTGAGTTTGATGTTATTTCATTAGCTGCATGGTGTTTTCTGACCTTGCATAGACTAGTTACTTTTTAAAAGCACATGCTAACAGTTCAGGAATGCCTCCACAGTATTCAAAAGGGAGGCAATTTAATGTTATGATCATCAGTTCTGGGGGTAGTTCTTTAGTTTTTGTGTTTTACTGGTCATAAAAATGCAAACATATAAAGGTATGGAATTAATGTAGCATTATTAAAATAACAACTGCTGTCTGTTATCACTGTCTTGTAACAAAAGACATTTTAACTCCAAAAAGTAGGGCTACATGATGACAGTGTGAACCGAATAAATTAAGCTTCATTACAGAACTTTATGTTAGATGTATTCTTCTCATTTTGCCCTATATGATAGAACTTTTATCATACACCAGAACTGACCTGGTGTCTAACTTTTCACACCTACTGCTCTAGATGTTAAACTGACATTTGTTTTAACATTAAACATTGTAAAAGGCTGACGGTTACTCTAGTGTTCATCTAATATGCAGTAGATTGTGTTGTATAGGCTAGCCTAATCTTCCATTCTATGTTGTACAGGCTAGCCTAATCTTCCATTCTATGTTGTACAGGCTGGCCTAGTCTCCCATTTCACACACTCCTATCACTGTGTGGTCCTATCATTTCTAATATAGAAATACCAGTTTATGGTCTCTCTTGAATCCAGGGAGCTCATGACTATAGTCGAAAATTGTTCCATGTCATTTCCAATGCTCGATTATAGTAGGTTGATTTGTCTTCTGCCTCAGCCTCTTAAGATACTGCCCTAGAGACCAGTCTGTGGGGAGACCAACAGGGAAAGGAACTGAGGCTCAATCCTACAGCTCTGACTGTGCTCCGTCCATTGCTCTCAACCTGCCCAGATCATGAAGGAGTTACCTTGGAAACGGATTCTCCAATCAAGCCCCTGTTTGATGCTATGTGGAGTAGAGACACACTTTTTCTGCCAAGTCCTACCAAAATCATGAACTTCTGAGATAAATAAATGTTTTTGTTTTAAGCTACATAGTTTTGTATTTATTGGTTACACACACAAAAAATATAACATATGCATGTTAGAAGACAGAAATATGCAGTGGCACAACAGAGCCCAGAACATGTGGCTTTGTTCTGAAGCTAGCTGGTGGGTCAAAGCTGTGAAGGTCTAGTGGGAAATGTGAGGAATGGCTCCTAGGCCTCAAGTACAGCTGAGCAGAAGCCTTTCAGATCATCCGAGAGGTTACTAGTGGGAGGAGGGAAGTGTCTCTGCAAAATAGTCTCCCTTAGAGAGGAAGGCTCTTGTTAGGAGGTCCCAGGAGGTTTTCCATAGTGTTTAAGTAATAAACCCAATGATTCAGTGACTGTGTCCCAGCTTTGCTCCAGTGCCACTAGCCTTTTCTGAAGTGTGAAAGGAAGAAAGGAACCGAGGTGGAGAAAGAAACACACCAACTTTCAAGTAAAATTGGAAAGAAACATAAATGTGCCAGTAGTTTGAAATTGAAGTGTCTCTTTATTTCCCAGCCTTTGCAGATGAAAATTCTTATTAATTCAAGAAATGACTTCCGGGAAAAGATAAAACCTGGAACTGAATCTAGCGGGTATCTTGTAAGAAATTAGAAACATTTAAGATGGCACTCATTTAAGAAGCACGGGGACTCTCAGATATTTGAGCATTTTTTTTCATATGGCTGGGTAGATGGTTTGTGCGTGTTCTAGGGTGGTCATCACTGCTCATCCTGATGGGAGCTGAACTGCCACATCTCCCTTTCCCAGCTGTGGCACATGTCAGCATAAGGAACTGTCTGATACACCTTTCTTAGGTCTAATGTCCACTCTTGACCAAATCAGCGTATTGGGAATGAAGAATTATGACTAACTCTTCTGTTTTACATCCCTGACTCAGTCACATAGTATAGTCTACCATCAGAAGACAGGATTTGGGCAAAGTACACTTCAGCCTCTCAGTTCCCCGAGGCTATCAACGATTCTTTTTGCTGGCTTTGCTCAAAATGTTGAAACAAATTTGTTATGGCTTTAACAGAAGATCTCCACAAGAGAGGTTGTAATGAAGAATATAGCCTGGTCATCTCTGCAGTTTAGTTAGGCACTGTCTCTGGTTTTCAGTATCACATCTAAGCCAGAGTTGAGTATAATTTTTTTTTTTTGAGACAGGGTTTCTCTGTGTAGCCCTGGCTGTCCTGGAACTCACTCTGTAGACCAGGCTAGCCTCGAACTCTCGAACTCAGAAATCCGCCTGCCTCTGCCTCCCAAGTGCTGGGATTAAAGGCGTGCACCACCACCGCCCGGCTAGCTGAGTATAAATTTTGTTCAGAGTTTTCCTGAGGTATGTGGACTTGGGGAATCTGAATCTTGAAACTTAAAACTACAAGAGTTTTAAAACTCAAAAGGTTTGGTGGCACCAAGAGAGCATGAAAGGACAACAGTGGGACAAGAGGAGAACACAGCAGGGAAAGGCATCGTTTAGGTGATCAGAGGCAGTGCCTTTGAGAAGTCAGTGTGACAACTGGCAATCTAATGCGAAAGTGCAGGTGAAAGAAAGCCTTGTGAGCTAGGTATCATGTAAGGTAAACCAAGGCAGTAGAGTGAAAGTTCTCTGGTCCTGTGGTTTAAAGGGATTGCACATCTATACAAATGAAGTTGCAGACAATATTTTAGGATGTATCAGAGGCATACATAGAACTGTTGATTGAAATTCAGTCTCTAGGAGCTGAAATGTGCTTTGGAGTTTCTTTAATACATAACATAATGTGGAAGATGGTAGATTCTGTCAGCTGCTTGTTGTGATGTTTCCCTTGGTGCCCTATGAAAGAACACATGCAGCCACACCCACATGAGCAGCATGCAGCATAGGAAGAGGAGAATCCCCTACACACAACATAACTCAGCCATGGCAGTATACTACAAATTGATGATTAGTGTTCACTGAAGAAATTGTATTTGTTTCTAGTAATTAGACCCCCAAATCATATGCTAGGCATCAAGAATTAGCTGATGCCTATGTCCTGAGGGGAGTGGGTGACATTGTACCTTCAATCAAAGAACTAAAATTCAATAATGAATTGAATGGAGGAAAATAAGAACCTTGAGTAATGAAAGGGAAGAAGAGGAAAAGGAGGAGGAAGAGGAAGAAGAAGAAGAAGAACAAGTACAAGAAGAAAAGGAAAATCGGGAACTAAGGAAGAAGTCTAAAGGGATCGAAAGGGTAATGGGTGGGTAAGGCAAAGAACATGAAATCAAAGGGAAGGGGTGTGGAAGGCTAGTGGAAGGCACGAATGTGTGCAACTATAATATACATGTATACATGTATAAGATGTTATAGTGAAGCTTATTATTTTGTAAGCCAACTAAAATTATTTAAAAAGACGAGTCAGTGTTAAGGGAGTTAGGGCTGAACTGGATAGAACTGGTATAAGAAAGACATCATGTATGGTTTTTAAAACTCCAAGGGTTCTGTCTATGTGTATAATCTTTGACCCTTTCATGTGTTACACCAGGCAAAGGAAATCAGTTAAAAACAGTTGTAGGCGTAGGCAGAGTGTGGCCATTAAGAAATGCATGTTTCTTTATAACTCCCTCTGGATTGGAGGTGGGAATAATGAGGGCAGCCAATCAGAACAAAAGCAGGTTGGCAAGAAGCCAATGGGAAGTCAGTATGGAAACAGCTTTTGCTTTGGTATCAGTTGGTGGTACCGACCCTGGCAAACAGCATAACTCAGCCCTGTTCTTTGGGATTTTGAAAGGCTGCATTTTGATTTCAACTCTGAGCCAGTTTAGGCTTGGAAGAACACTTCTCTGGGGAAGAACTTGGTTTTAAGGTCATTACCATGGCAACGAGGGCTTGGAGATAAGGACCCGAAGGGCTTCTTAAGGATGAGGAGTAACTTGAAGATGTAGTGGCCACCTCCTTCTTTTAATTAGAGTCTTTGTAACTGGTAGAAAGCAAGTATAAAACCGGGGGCCAAGGATAGAGTCTGTTCCTGAGGCTACTTCAGGACCCTTTAGGAAGTCTTAGGTTAAGGCTAGCTATAAGAAAAAGCAAAATAACCCAAGTCCTTCTAAGGACCTTCCCATACATTTACATGTCTCACGCAGGACACCAATTCAGCAGGGGCATCAGAAATGAAATCCAGCCTATTGTTGATATGACAAGTCACATGATTGTTGTCAGGCTTCATGGTCTCGAGGAAGAGGTACTTTTTCCTAATTCAATCAAAGGCATCACACAATCAAACCTCAAATCTTTTCAAGTCTTTAAAAAAATTGTTTACCTCTGTCCTCACTCCAAACCTTATCTGATATGATCCAAACCTTAACTGATATGATGCAGTTTACCTTATAGAAGTCATTGAAAGAGGGAAAATAAATAAATTTTGAAGTCAGAGTAGTGAAGTGGAATCCCAGAGTGATTTGTACTCATGGGAAATGAGGAGTGTGAATGTTTGTCTTTGCTCTTTTCCTCGTAAAGACTCCACTCCATCAAATGTGTATGATGCACCTGTCTTGTGCCGAAGACTGTGTTTACAACCTTAATGAAAATCAAAATCTCAGTCTCAGCCTTTGAGAAACTCGATGCTCCAGGCACACGCATGATCAGATCACCTCAATAGCAGTACAGTCATGATCCACTTTTTTCCGTGTGTAGGATTAGACATCAACACGAGTGTCCCTGTAAATATTCCTGGGGCACAAAGGAGAATGAGTGGCATTAATGTGCTCAGAGATGAGTGTGCTACCCACCTTAGATAGGTGGGGTGTGGTTGAACTGGATCCCAGCAGGCCTCATGGGCCTTTCTTTTTTCTTCCATGTTACGACAGAATAGTCTGCCATAATGCAGGTTAGTCCTGGAAGAGTGATGTTAAACAATAGTTTTTCTTTCTGGGCAACAAAAAATGACAACAAGCCTGATTTACTCTGTGGGAGGCCAGCGGATTACTTTGTGGTCCAGAAGCATTTCACAATTCTTATATGTGCCACTATTGTTTTGGGAGGTAAGTAACTATGTGAGACTCTCCTCGGTCCTTAGAACTTTTTCTCATCTTAGGAAGTTACAGCTACAACAAAAAAGTAGCCAATGGAACCTCAAGATGTGAATGAAGGCCATCCGTACAGCTTCATTCAGTTTTTAAGGGGCTCTTGTGTATACCCATTGCTTTATTCAGTAACACTGCCTGAGCATGGGAGGGTGGCAGGTACATTAAGAAACATGAGATTGTCTGACATCATGGAGCTTCCTCATGGGGGAGGTAGGCAAACAAATAGTCATGAGGCAGTGTGCTAAGCGTACACATAGAGATGATGTTAGGATTCTCTAGTAATGAGAAAGAGGGAGATCCTGATACTGCCTACCCGCCAGGCCTGCCCTGATCATATTATCTGAGATAAGGGGAGACAGCTTGTCAGATAAGCAAAGAAGACAAACAATCCACAGTTTGCATAATTGGTGTCATTAATCTTGTTTATTATTATGGCTTCTTTAGATTTTATCCTTTAATGCCAGCATTTGGGAGTCAGAGGCAGGCAGATCTCTTAGTTTGTGGCCAAACAGAGTGAGTTCCGAGACACTCAGGGTTATACAGAAACACCCTGCCTCAAAAAAAGATCCCATTTTATTATATGTATAGGAATGTTTGTCCTGCATACATGTCTGTGTACCACGTGTATGCAGTGCCAACAGTGCCAGAAGAGGGCATTAGAGTCCCTAGAACTGTGTAGTTATGGCTGCTTCTTAGCTGCCATGAATGCTAGTGCTGGGGACTAAACCTGGGTCCTCTGGAAAATCAGCAAGTATGCTTAACCATGGAGCCATCCCTCCAGCCGCTATTTTGGCTTTTGATGGGATGTTTCTTTACTCTATCCACTTTGCCTGCCTAGAAAAAAATTAGAGAGGGCTTTGTAAATAAAGAACTCCTGAATATGGATTACAAATTCAGCAGGTGTACCGAATGGTATTCATAGAGATAAAGTAGCCCAGTCAATAACATTCCTATGATGAGAGTTTCTAGGTCTCTGTAAAAGAAAATTTACTTGGGAAGAATACCAGCTGCTCCCAAAACTTTTCTGGACTCAGGAAGACAACCAAGGACCAAATAATGAAACAAATGCATGTAAAGAGTATCTTCATCTTAGTATTCACCAGGGAGTAAAATTGCTTTGTCTGGGGGCTTTTAATACACTCACTAATGACTCTGGTTCCTTTCAGTACCCACAGTGATCAGATAACCATGAGCTTTGATAACCCTGATACACCCTGAGGATGTAATGAAAAGTGGCCAGGAGCAAAGGACGTTGCAGAAATAGTGTGAAAACTATCTGTTTACCCAGACTTAAGCATAAGAAATATTCAATAATTCTTTACTGATTTGTTTCCAGCTCAATCTGGGAGGCAGGAAGTACCAAATCTAGGCTGCCAGTGAGACTTGCTTTCGGTCTGTAGAGTGACTCTAATATATTCCTGGGTGAGCAACTGTGAGGCTGGTGAAATCTCAATACTTTCCATAGTCTTCTGTGAGGGATACCAATTATATGTACCTTATACTTAACAAATTGCATTTGTGGGCCAGTGAATTTCAGGAAGTAAAAGCACATGACACACACACACACAAATCCAAATATATTTGTAATAATTATTAACTCTTCTCACACACTATGACTCAGAAAAAGTTGTAAATTAAATAGCTAGGCTGAATATTAATGACATTAATATGAATTATAATGAATATTATTTTGAAAATATAAATAAACATCTCATCTCTTTTGGTAAGATAAACACACACACACACACACACACACACACAATGGGTTTCAGTATAGGCTGACACAGGCATACAATACCATGTATACTGGTTGAATAGGATAATTACTATTTTGAAACTATAAATTATATTTTTATTTTTTAGGGTTTTCAAGGATGGTCTTAAAGAACTCTGAGGTCTTTGTCTTGATGATTCTCTCTCTGTCGGGATTTGTGACAGGGCGACTGGCTTACCATTTTGTTGAGGTACTGTATACATAATAAGTTAGAGAGGAAATCAAAGGTCAAACATCTCAAAGAAGGTCTACTCCTAATGTCCCAGTCCCACGGAGCATTGAACTGGGATCAGAAGACCTGGAAGAGAGAACTGGAGGACAGGGGACACAAAGAACGAGCAGCTTGTCTGTAGGCTGATCAAACCACTGATTATAATTTTTTCACATAGGGGTTATATACACAAAAAAGCAGGATATGGGGAAGGGGATGATGCTGGAGTGTAGGTGTTCTCAGGGGGAGTACAGATATCTTCCAGAACAGGGTATCATCTGGGTGAAGGTTCAGGGAACAGGTCACTTGTGACTCTGTCTATGATTTACTTGTTCCTTATCTAAGCTGGTACTATCCACCAAGGCGACCTATCTACAAGGTCTGTGACTATTAGTTCTTATCCAGGCTGGTAAATTTCCACCAAGGCTACTTGTTTTCAAGATTCTGTAGCCATCTGTTTCAGTGTTTTTCCAGAGACCAAGACTTTGTGTTAGCAGGCTGACTTAGGCCTATTGATGATTTTAGGCCTTCACTGTATAAGCAAGGCTGCCCCTGACATCCTAATATGCAAGTTTTTCTTTTTCTTTAGTCCTGGGGATCAAACTCAGGACCACATACATGCCAAGCAGCAGGACTCTATCAATTACGAGCATCCCCAACCCTATGGAATTAAAAAACATGTGAACAGATGTTAAAATGATTTCATACAGCGGTGAGCATTTTTGCAAAGAAAGACACATAAATACAATAAGAAAGTCATAAGTTAGGAAAGCTTCAAATGAAGCAGTGATTTGGAAGTGAGACAATTCACGTGCTGGCAGGCTCCTTGTCATTCTTCTCTGAGCCTTACCCTTTCCCTCTTGTTACTCCTTCTGGGTTCCTGTTCCTTTCCTTTGTGGGTACACTGGTTTATTCTCTGATGTTCACTTTAAACATGTAGAGGCTTGATATGAAAGGCAGCATCTCTTTTCTTTTAAGACTTATTTTATGTATATGGGGTGTTTTGCCTTTACGTCTTTAAGTGAATTGAGTCCATTTCTAGTACCCATGAAAGCCAGAAGAGGGTGCCAGATCCTCTGAAACTGGAATAACAGACTCCAGTTAACACACAGTTAGCCTCTGTGTGGGTGCAGGGAACTTCACCTGGTCCTCAGTAACAGCAGCAAGTGCTCTAACTACTAGGCTATCTCTCCAGCCCCTGTAGCAGTTATTTTCATGATAAAGCATCCTCTCTCTTTTCTCTCATGTTAAATATGAAACATGCAACACACACAACATAACCACAAGAAAACACTTCTTCATTGTCTCAACTTATTAATGCCTAGTATTAACAGCAATGCAATGTGCATTAGCAATTTGTCTCCATTGAGTGTTTCAGTTTTTTAAGATGGGAGGTAATACCTATGGGATATTTATCTAGGGCTGTGAAAGTCTATCAGTCTTCCCAGTCTCACCATTCCCACTCGCTGGCGTGATTTGAGAGTTTACTATGTGCCATACACATTTTTAAGTGCTCTGTACTTATGAATTTGGCAACTCAACAACCCTTGGGTTGACCCATTCATTCTTGCAAGGATGTGATGAAGTAGTACTCACTAATCACTTTACAGATGAGGAACTGAGCCACTGGGAAGTCAGATAATGCAGCTGTTAAATTGGAATGATCTAGAAAACACTTTCCGAGGAGAATAATTAATTACAGCATTTCAACCACCACTGTGTTTTCTGTTACTTAATGTACACCGTTCACCATCCATGCCCTATACAGATTATATCACCATCTAAGCATCATATTTCTCTACTGACTAACTGGGATTTTTTTCCAATTTAAGCATATCTCTGTAAATCCACAAATATCTGTGCAAGAATATATAATAGATATATTACACTAAATATCCAATAGCCTAATTCAAATACTTTTCTGTGGATTGGATAGCATTATCTCAGGTGACACCAATGGTAAGGGATATCATTTCTATAAATACTAATTATAGGTTATAATGTATGTATTTAATATATATGCAGTGTTCATGTAAAATAACATATCAGAGCAGATCAGTTTAAAGGGAGGAAGGAGTGGAAAAAAGGGGGCTGGGGAGATGGCTCAGTGGTTAAGAGCACTTGCTACTCTTGCAGAGGTTCTAGGCTTGGTTCCCAGCACCACCATGGTGACTCACAACCCTTTGAAACTCCAGTTCTAGGGGATCTGACACTTTACCCTGGCATCCTGAGGTACTGAAGGCATGGATTTGTACATCTAAAACTTAAAAAGAAAATTCTCCAAAAGGAGAAAAGGATGTATTTGGGCTCATGGTTTCATACTTTTTAGTCCTTGGTTGTTTCACTCCATGGCTGTGGTTTGTGGGGAGATGGAACATTTTCATCATCATGGCAGAAGATGGGGCAGAGCGAAGCTGCTCATCTCATGAGATAGAGAGCTAGAAAGAAAGGGGTCAGGACAAGATACGCTCTAGAATGTCACTTTAATGACCTTCCATTCAGCGCCCATATCCTAAATCATGACATTTGCGTTCTCATGATCCAAGCACCTCTCAACAGCGCCACCTGCTGGAACCAAGCCTTCAAACAAAACTTTTCAGGGGATTTGAGATCCAGTGTGGGTGCTGGTGGGGTACGGGTGCGGGGCCCACGCTTCTAAACCACCACAGTAACAAATATTTCCTTGCATTTGTTACTTTAGGTGCACCAAATTGTCTACCCTCTTCTAAAAACACCAAGCTTTTCACTGTATAGTTATTTTTTACCTTTAATTGTATTTGTGGCTGCTTTGGATGTGGACTTTTATATAGTCAAGAACGTGTTTTGGCAGGTAAGGAAACATTTTAAAACAGCTAACCATGTCTGCTCTGTAGAACTAGTTTAAAAGAGTTGCATGGTCGGGTAGGGTGGGGATGGGATTATTGTTTGCTGAGGGACCTCCAAGTTTAGGATCCAAGCAAATAACATCTCGGTTTTGTCGGTGAGCCACTGAAGCTGAGTTCACAAGAGAGTCGGTAAATACTTGGGTCTGGGTTCTAGTCTAAGGCAATTTCCTCACAACTGTGTCTTCTTTTTGTTGCCGGTGGTGTTGTTGTTATTTTATCTTTTCTATTTTTCCTTAATTACACTTGTTGCACTATTTTATTTCTATTTTCAGGGAACATTTTCCCCCATTTTGGTTTAACTCTGTTCTTTCTGGCATCTTGAGTTAAAATTAACTGAGTTGTAGCATTTTAATAGTATTTTGCATATGCAGGGTGCAATTTTTTCCCCTTTTACTTGACCTCATGTTTTATCTTTTAGTGTTTTAATTATTACTAAATTCTAATTTTTAAAAAGCTTTCTGGGGGTGGGGACACATTCATTCTTTTCTAGTTATGTAGCCTTGGCTGGCCCTGAACTTTATATGTAGACCAGGCTGACCTTGAATACACAAAGTTCTGCTTGTTGGGGTTAAAGGCATGCACCACCATGCCTGCAGGGTACAGGTAGTATTGAAGTAAGTAGAGATGTGCAAGTAACCTGTGGTTATGTTGATTTAGAGTCCTTTGGGTGCTTTGTATCCAAAAACCCTGTACAATTCTATGCCAATAAAAAATAATAAAGTAATGGCAAGAGACAGGACCCAGTTGGTAAGACTGGCTGCCCTTCCAGAGGACCTGGATTTGGTTCCCAGCACCCACATGACAGTTCACAATCATCTATAGCTTTAGTTCCAGGGGATCCAATGTCCATTTCTGTCCTCCATGGGGACCCGGTATGCAGGTAACACAAATAACACAGACACACACACATACAGGTAGAACGAACGCCCATTCCGTCACATGAGAGATCAGAGTTAAAAGGAATAAAACGGTGACGATGACTAAAATACGTCGTGTATTTGCGTGAAATTCTCAAAGAATAGATTTTAAAATGTTATATTATTAAAAAATAATGTGGTAAAAGAAATCCATTACCCTCGATATGGGTCTTTAATGTGAGTGAACGCAGTCAAGCTCTCTTTGGGTGACGCAATGCCGTGGTGGATTGGTTCACAGGTCTTGCTAACAGGCGTGATTAGTTTTGGCACAGCGCTCTCCATCATTTCATTCGTGGTCCTGAAAATGCACGACGACACGTGGGACGTGCAGTGCAGCATGCTCTTCAGCATCACCATGTGTATCATAGACCCTCTTCACTCCGTCAACTCTCTCAAGACGATCGGTACGCCAGGCCCGCCTCCCTCGCTCCGAAGGTCCAAGGATGTCTTAGTTCCTCTGGGTTATCCTTTCCATGCGTGGTTTGTAGATTCAGCAGAGTAGGGCTTAGTGCTCTATTTTTTTCAAGGAGAATCAGATTCTGGGTAGCCTGGTATTGAACCCGATCACTCAGTGGTCACGGGGAGGCATCCTAATACTTTACATCCAGATTAAAAACCGAAAAAAAAATTTCCCTTAAAACAAAAACTATAAACGTACTACTTTAATAACAATAACAGTAAATAGTGATGATGATAATATCTCAACTGTATATTTTCAGTTATTATTGTTTCAAGACCCCTAGGTGAAAAAAAGAGATTAGCCAGGTCTAGTTTTTTAATGATGATGATGTCACTTAATACGATCAGTTTGGGTTTTTTTCCCTAATGATTTATATTAAACAGTCACACTTATTTTATTCTTGAGACAGGTTTTCCCTATGTAGTTTTGGCTTACCTGAAGCTCACTACATAGACCAGGCTAGCCTTGAACTCAGAGATCTGTCTGCTTTTGCCTTCTGAATGTGGCCTAACAGTTGCTTTTAAAATAGAGGGTCCTGTAATCCTATCAATTTGTGTTTGCATTAGGCTGCATAGTATACTAGCAGAGGTCATAGCTTCTTAAGTCTGGGGTTCACCCGTCTAAGTGAAGGAAGTCTAGGGGTGGTAGCACACCATGAACTCATCAAGCCTCACTCTCTAGAGTAACAGTAGCTGGAGATACCTTCTGAAATAACTAAAAACCAAAACCCAAACCTGGAAGAGAACAAACTACAAGAAAAAGAGAATTATCCAATAATGGACATCAGACAGTGTAGGTCAGTGGGTCTTGAGAGATGGGGAGAGGGAGGAGAGAAAGAAAGAGGGGGAAGAAGGGAAGACATACATACATACATACATACATACATACATACACACACACACACACACAGAGAAAGAGAGAGAGAGAGAGAGAGAGAGAGAGAGAGAGAGAGAGAGAGAGAGAGGAAGACAGAGACAGAGACAGAGAGACAGAAATGAAGACAGAGACAGACAGACAGACAGACAGAGACAGACAGACAGAAATAAAGACAGAGACAGAGAGACAGAAATGAAGACAGAGACAGACAGACAGACAGACAGATAGACAGATAGACAGCATAGCTTTTGCTTTAACTTCCCATCTGGAGAGCCTTTCAGTTCTGGGATAGAGAGAGAAAACTTAAGGTGGAGCCTGGTTAGAGTTGAGCAGCTCCCGGGCTGGAAACCTTAGAGGGCTCAGACAGCTAGAGTTCACGGAAAAGTTGCTGCAGAGATGAAAGCTGCATGCAGGAAGCAGGGCGGAGGTCTGCGTTTGGATAGGAATTCATTTTATTACCGCATTCGTGTGCAGTGGCCAAGGCTGGAAACAGAAAATACATAAAAGAGTAGAAGAACCAATTTCCTTCAGATTCCTTACATTCTTTGTGGAAAACAACCTCATAGTTCATGGTACATCAGCTAGAACTCTCAGAATATTATTGCCTCAGTACGCTGCAGTGCTGTGAGCCAAGCAGCCAGGTCCTCCTGAAACCCTGACTGGGAGGCCAGGGAATGAAGATAGGACAGACACATACAAGCACATGCACATACACATGTATACACATATAATAAACCAGGATCAGGTGGGTGTTTTCTCAGCATAGGGGGAGGGGTTAGCTCATCTTGGTAGATGGTCTTTGGTAGGTAGCTACAGTTGCTAGTCCGTGCACAAACTCATCAGTCATTCATAAACACCTAGACTCTGACTCCTGAGGAAAGCTTTGTGATGTCACTTGAACCTGGGCTCTGTGGGTAAGTTTTGCCAATGTCCTTGACGTGACTGAGCCCACATCACAGCACCCACCGATTCACTCAGGACTTTAATCAGTCAGGGCTTTGTCCACTTGCTACGTCACAGACTCAGTCTTAGTTAGATGAAAGGCTGTTCTGGTATTATACAATGAAGCTTAAGGCAAGACTCACAAGCTGGGTGTGGTGATGTACACTTTTAATCCCAGCACTCCGCGGAGGCAGGAGGCAGATGGATCTCTGTGATTTCAAAGCTAGCCCATTTACATAGAAAGTTCCTGACTAGCCAGGGTCCTATAGTGAGGCTCTAGCTCAAAGTAATTTAATTGGGTTATGGACTATTCTTGTGATGTTTGGGCAAAGAATGTGGCTACCTTATGTCCTTGTCCTTGACTTTATGAAGTTAAACTTAACTTTTTCTTTATTTTTTTCTTTTCTTTTTTCTTCCTCCCCCACCCCCTCTCTCTTGAGACAGGGTTTCTCTGTGTAGCTCTGGCTGCCCTGGAACTTGCTCTGTAGACCAGGCTGACCCTCAATTCAGAGATCTGCCTGCCTCTGTTTTCCAAGTGCTAGGACTAAGGGTGTACATCACCATACCCCCCTCCCCCAGCCTGTCTGCCTTCTTCTCTTTGTCTCTGTCTGACTGTCTGCCTTTCTCTTCATTAACTGAAAAAATTTTTTTTTTTACAAACAATATATTCTGTTCACAGTTTCTCCTCCCTCAAATCCTCCCAGATTCTCTCTACCTTCTTGTCCATCCTTTCTTTCTCTCTCAATAGAAAACAAACAGGAAAACAAAACAAAACAAAACTCCCCAGGGCAAAACAAACAAGGGGGAAAAAAAGGAGAGCCAAAGGAAAAACACACACATGCATTCACACAGAAATCTCATAAAAATGCAAAACCAGAAATCATATTATATGATCAAAAGACCTGTATGGTAAAACAAACAAACAAACAAACAAACAACCAAAAACAAAAAAACAAACAAAAAACCCAACTCTGAAAATATCATTGAGTTCCTTTTGTTTTAGTCATCTACTCCTGGGTATGAGGTCTGTCCTTAAGTAGGGTTTGTATACCCAGTGAGACTCTTTTGGAGAAAACAAATTTTTTCTTTGAACATAGTTGGAGATAGTTTTCAAAGGAAAGGTTTGGAGTGAAAGTTGTGTCTACTTCCCCTCTCAGTGCTGGGACTCCTTTTGGCTTAGACCTGTGGAGGTCCTGTGAATGCTGCCACAGTCTCTATGAGTCACAGGCATGCCAGCCTTGTTGTGCTTAGAAGACCTTGTTCCCTTGCTGTCTTTCTCCCTCACTGACTCTTACATTCTTTCTTCCTCTTCCACAAAGTTCCCTGAATCTGGGGGATTTGATGGAGATATTCCATTTAGGACTGAGGGTTAGGCAAAGAGATTTCCAGACAGTCTAATACTGGCTCTGTCACATGGTCACTAATACTCACTCTTCCGAGGGCCGAAATGAAAGAGAACAAGCAGAGCAAAAAGAAATTAAAAAAATGTGCGGTATGGGGGAGGAGGGAGAAGCACTAAGAAAGTAATCTTGGAGCCCAGGATTGTGCTGACAGAGAGGCCTGATGAGAAAAGGGAGTGGAGACCTCAGAGTGAGACCCCACCCAGCTAATCATGCAGTCTGTGAAAATAAAAAGTCAGAGGGGTTTTCTGGTCCTAAGAAACAGTGAGGAATCAAAGCTTATGCAGATGTAATTCAAGGAGGAAACTAGGTTCTATTCTAAGCAGGTAGCTGAACTTGGCAGCGTTGGCCATGTGGTTCTGACTTTACAGCTATGAAGGATAGATGAATAAATGGGTTCTGGAATCTTCCTCAAGGTTAAGGAAAGCCACTGAGAATAGGCACATGGCAAGGGACTCCCTGCTTGGAGGGCCTGAGAGACCTGGGTTTGTTGTAGTCCCTAAAATGTTAGAGGTGCCAGAGCTGTGGGATGCTTGCCAAGGAGAGCAGTATACAGTGAGTGGAACCAACTCAAGAGAGCCAGTGTGTTGCAGTCAGCAGTGGTGGAGACATCTAAGCCCTTTGACATCAAGTGTGGAGCTACAGGTTTTGGAGTTTGCCCTTCCAAGGTCTGGTCTGAATTTGGTCCAGTATTTCCACACTATGCCTCCATTCTGGCCTTTTGGAATGGTAATATATACTCTGTGTCATTGTGTGTTGGAAGTACACAATTTGCGTTTTTATTTTACAAGGGGTTACAATTAAGAGATTGCCTTGCTTCTCAGCAGAGACCTTGGATATTGGATTTTAAACTGTGTTGAGACTGCAAAAGACTGTGGATTTTTGAAGTTGGACTAAAAGCATTGTTTATTTTGAGATGGCCATGGTACAGGGGCCAGGGAGTGGAACGTGGTGGTCTGAGTGAGAAATGCCCCTAGGCTCATTTATCTGAATACTTGCTCCTATGTTAGTTGGCCAGTTTGGGAAGGATTAGGAGGTGTGGCCTTACTACAAAAGGTGTGTCATGGGGGAGGGCTTTGAGATTTCAAAACCCTGTGTCTTTCCCAATTATCTCTCTGCCTTGTATTTGAGGGTCACATGTAAGCTCCTAGTCACTGCTCCAGCCCCATACCTGCCTGCCTGCTGACATGCTCCCTACCACGATGGTCATGGACTCTCACCCTCTGAAACTGTGAACCCAAGATAAACTCTATCTTTTATAAATTGCCTTGGCCGTGTCGTCTCATCACGGCAGTAGAACAGTAACCAGGGTGCAGACTGACTAGAAAGGGGGAAAGGAGAAGGCAGGTTGAACGTTAGCATTTATTTTTTTTTTCTGCTTCTTGACTCAGAACAGGAAGCCCTATATAGCCCTGCTATGAATTCCTCATTGTGATGGACTCTATTCTCAAACTGTGAACCACATTAACCTTTTTTTCCTTGATTCTTTTCTTTCTTTCTTTTTTCAATATGTGTGTTGGAGTGTGTGAGTATGTGTGTATGCAGCAAATGTGTGCAAGTGCCCTAGGAGGCTAAGAGAAGGCCTAAGAAACCCTGACACTTCAGCTATAGGTAGTTGTGAGCTACCCAATTTGGGTGCTGGGAAGCACATCCAGAGAGTTACAGACAGTTGTGAGCTGCCATGTGGGTACATTTTGAACCTGGGTCCTCTGGATGAGCAGTCAAT